TCACAACGAGCGATTACAAGAAAGTTAAAGAAAAGTAAGACTTTTAGGCGATAACCTATTCTATCAAAATTTAGGAGTTTGGAAAGTACTACTTGAGACACGGGTTATGCTTGGAGCTTGACTCCGCTTCCGATTGCTTTGCTCCCATAAGACACATGTCAAAGGCGGCTTATTTCTCCTTCATCTCTCTTATCTCAGAGAGAGTTGCAGTCAACTGCTCCTGGAGGGTGTTGGTGTGGAGATGAGCATTTTCCTCCAACATGTACAGGCGACGGATGTTAGTAGTGTTACCTTGAACCTCCACGTTGACTTCGCGAATCCAGTTTGCTTGACCTGTGGATTGGTAGGACTGGTTGGCTAGTTTGCCCACCATGACTAGGAGTGCTCGGTCGGCTGAACTTCCTCCACTGAATTCGTAGAGATCTTGACACATACCATAGGGAGGATGTATTCCTTGCTACCGGCTCCAATGGTGAATATGACTTCCCCAGACAGGAGTTCATCCTTGAAAGTTTCCCCTAAATGCGACAGGTTGGGCAACTGGTGGGTTGATTATTTCTGGCTCTGAGTCTGTCCCAGAGTCTTCACCTTCCTCCTCCCCCATGGGTTCCTCATCTTGTTTGGGGTCCTCCTCTACCCAGCCTCCGTTGCCCTGTTTCGGGTAGTATGGATCCCCAGGTGGATGTAATCCAGCCATTTCGACTATAAAAGAATAGGGTTATAAGAATTGTACAATTTTGAAACACGTAAGTCTAAATATGCAAGTTAAACTATTGCATTTACCAAATACTCCTATAGTATTTAAATTTGTATGTTTGATACTAGTGTCATTTTCGTAGGTTTTGACTTGTTGCTCACTACGACCATTCCCCGACATACATTAGTCCGATTTCAGAAAAATATAGTTGATCAGGCTATATTCGTCCCAAATCTGATTACATATTCCGAGGACTAGTCGTAGTGTCCAACTTGTCTTAATACTTCTTGTATAATTCTAACTATAAAAATGACTCATTGTATGCATGTATTTGTGCTTTTACGACCCAAACAATTTAAGCTAAATGAAACGCGGTTTAGGTGTAGAAATGTTTTGTCAGAGAGTTTTAGTCCCAATGCATTTATAGTCTGTATATCTTATGTGGTTCGATATACTTACTACACTATAAACAATGCTCTGATACCAATCTGTCACACCCCCAAACCTGAACGGCGGAATCGTTCGAGGGCGGATGACTTCATGTAGTATATTAACAATTGAATACATAGAAAAGAAAGTATAACAACCATCATATATATAATTTAAAAGTTACATTGTTGAATGATACTTGTTCAAAACAAATTACAATATGATGACAAAATGAGTTTTAAACTAATGGACTTAGCGTCACATCTCCAAAAGCTGAAGTCTACTAGTATTACTGATTCCCTGAGAAATACAAGTCGTTTTGAAAGAGAGTCAACAATTAAGTTGGTGAGTTCATAAGCGTTTATGTATAAAATTTGTAAGTTTGGTATAAATCACTGAGTTTACTTCTAAAAAATCCAATATTTTTCCAAGAGTGTGTGTAGTTTAAAAGTTCCAAAACTTTAATGCATTAGTAGTTGTCATGCCGAGAATAATAGATTTATGTATATATAAAATCACTAAGACATTTGATAACCCCGTAAATCATTGTGTTTTTAATACTTCATGTGAGTTTTATAACCATGCAATCGACCTAGGCTGCCTGTAACTACGTTCTTCAGGCGTTGGAATGTTATGACGTTTGTCACCCCATACCTGCCGGTCTAACTGTAGCTAACAATTTAGGTGCGGGATTGTCGGTCCTATATAGATCTATACACAAGTATCATGCTCTCCCTACAAGAGATTATGGTATATAATACAAAAATTTAACGGCATACTTGAAAGTACGTGAAGTTGAATGTCTCACAAAACTTAGTATCAAATAGATTTACATATGAAAAGTCCACTTGTTCTTGTAGTTGAAAGTATTTCCTCGATATAGTACTTATAGTATGTAAAATCTCATAATTTCCCTGTAAACTATACCTATTATAGTGTTTCCAAAAGTGTGTTTTGTTTGTATGGTAAACCCTTGTGTAGTGTCGACTTTGTACGTAAAGTATAACATTTGTAATAACATCATTGAACATTTATACTCAAAATATTAAAAAGTGTTTGGTATCTATACAACAACATGTTTCATTTCAAAATGGACAAAGTGTTATCGTGATATGTTGCATGAGAACGTTTTCGTATGATAGTTATAAATAACATATGATTGATTATAAAAAAAAGTATAGAAAAAGATTTATGTTATTCACATGAGGATAATCATGTGTTTACTTTTATTCCCCCCCCCCCCCCCCTTAAAAGTGTATAAAAGCATTTGAAAACGTAGTTATAGGGGTATGAAGTCACTTGATAGATTGAAGAAGGTGAGAGGAAAACCGAGCAGAACTTCGACAGAAGAAAACTGATTTCTCGGGAATCTCG